TTAAAACAAAACTTAATCTCCAGCCTGAATGGAGTATTGAGAAAAATGTGGTTTTGACATCCCTTTTTTTGGTAGGGAAATTGCTTTGTTTTCTATTTACCAGGGATGAGCTGGCTGTCCACGAGGAGCTGACAGGGGGAGAGTTTGGAGACAAGAAGGTTTGTTGGGGTCCTGACTCTCAAGCTTTGCCAGTGACCAGGATCCTTCCTGTGGGTGGTGTTGGGTTTGCAGTAAGAGAACAATGTTGGTATTCTTGAACTGGGTTCTCAGTGGAAATGACTGTCCTAAAAATTAGGGTTCATAGAACCAAGAAAAACAAAAAGCATGTAAAAAGGGATTGAGGATCTACCTCAGACAGTTTAATAAGATGGGATGAGGAAATCCTTGTTTATTACTGTTATTTTCACACAGTATATGAGAAAGTATTTCTTGTTCATGTAGGTGGCTGTGATGAGTGGAGGCTTGGCTCCCCTTGCAAGGGGAAGTGGGCTCCAACTTGCTCTTGCATAGAAGTTTTATACTTGTAGTTGTTATTCCTGATTAAGTTGGAAGCTTAATGCTGTGTTGGAAGGAAAGCTTTCTCATTCAGGTGCAGTGGCATGCACCCCAAGTCTCAGCTACTTGAGAGGCTGAGGTAGGAGGATCATTTGAGCCTGGGAGTTCAAGTCCAGCCTAGGTAACATGTGTAGACCTCATCTCTATTTTTTAAAAAAGAGGGTTGGGCACGGTGGCTCACACCTGTAATCCTCTGGGAGGCTGAGGCAGGAGGATTGTTTGAGCCCAGAAGTTTGAGGTTGCTGTGAGCTGTGATGCCACAGCACTCTACTGAGGTCTACAGAGTGAGAATCTGTCTCAAAAAAACAAATCAAAACCAAAAACAAAAACAAAAACTAAAAACCCAGAAAGGAAGGAAAAGAGGAAGGAAAAAAACCCTTCCTGAATGAAAGAGGTCAGAATCCTGGAACATAAGAAGATTCTGACCAATAACTGAAGGAAACAGAGAGAAGGACTTTTTGAAGTTCATGGTGGCTCCTCCCAATCCCAGGTCATGCCTGTGTGCCAACGGCGCTGCCTGGGTCCCTGGCTTTCTCTCATAACACCTTGCCATGGCCCAGTGAAACGATGCAGAGAAAAGCCCACTTTACTGACGAGATATGAAATTCGGAAGGAGGGGACCAGTTAGAGCTCATAAGCTATCGGAAGGAGTCCACATGCTGGTTTTTCAGCACTTCTTCCTGCACCCCACATGGCCACCTGGGCTCAGTGGGTGTCAGAGAGTTGATGTTATGACAATAAGATCTCAGGAAAGTGATACAGGATTGAATCAGTTCCTCTGCAGGAGGAGGTCAGGGCTGAGCTGCCTGCCGAGCTGGGAGAGAATGCAGGGATGCGCCCTGGCCTCACTGCGCTCTCTGGCCGGAGGGTTACATTTAATGCACAGACAAGCTAAGCCTGTTCTTGGAATGGGTAAGCCCCAAAGTCTAAGCCCCAGGCCATGCGACCATTTATTTATCCACATGGTTGAAGAGTCCAGACCTCAGGAGAAAACAGGCCCCGCAGGCGATGATATCAGGCACATGAGAAGAAATCATTTTGTTTTTGCAACCTTAGTCATTGTGGAGTAAAAACTCATTTTAGAATGAGTAGAGAATCTCTTCATCTCCTCTGGGTAATTGCTGCCATGAATTTATAGCTGACTTCACTGACATGGGTTCACTGAGTATATCATAATTTAGTTTTCAGTGCAAGGAGAAAATGAGAGGCCATTTCAAATTTTGAAGAAATATTGAGAAAATTAAATTGTCTGGATAAAGATACATAGGGGTGGATGGAAGCAGAGATAAATGAACATTCTGCTAGCCCCCCCCAAAATGTATCATTCTATTTGTGTATAATTTATCACCTTGGATACAGGAATAAAACTGATCATATTTCTAAAGTAGCTAAGTAGTACCTTTTTTTTTCTTTTTGAGTTGTCCCGGCCAGAGTGCCATGGTGTCATAGCTGACAGCAACCTCAAATCTTGGGCTCAAGCGATTCTCTTGCCTCAGCCTCCTGAGCAGCTGGGACTACAGGCACCTGCCACAATGCCTGGGTAGTTTTGCTATTTTTAGTAGAAATGGGATCTTGCTCTTGCTCAGGCTGGTCTCCAACTCTTGAGCTCAAGTGATTCACCTACCTCAGCCTCCCATAGTGCTGGGATCACAAGTTGAGCCACTGCTCCCCGCTGGCTAAGTAGCAACTTGAATTTGAACAACACATAGAACCAAAGAAAAAGAGAATAGAGGGACTTAAGTTGAAACCCCAAGAAAAGAGCATTAGGAGACTGGTCCTAAGAGGTGGTTTGGTTCTTGCCTTTTAGAAATGTGACATCTGGACCTAATGCTTTTCCAGCCAGCATGGAGACTGTCAGTGTCTGGCACGTCCTTTAATGCTATCTCCTTTCTGGCCTTTGAGAAAAGCCAGTGAGAGCAAATGTCATTGCTGCCATACAGCTCAGGAGGCCTGGGCAGATCTGAGGTCTTGTGAAAATGCGCTAATTACAAGGTATCAGTAGGAGTTGGAGAGGGGCAGGAGGGTCCTGCCAGCTTTATTCTGTCATGAAAAATGAAGAGGACCATTGCCTGGGGGTCAAAATTGGAGCATCACTCACCTGTATGAATGCATAAAAGAGACAGGTGGACTCGAGCCAGGAGGGAGGCTTCTGGGGCTGGACCTGGGGCGTGGCACCTCTGGGGCACCTACCAGAATTCTGGACCAAGTGGCAGCAGGTTCAGGACCTTCCAGACAGCACAGGGAGGTGAGGCACAGTGTGAAGGGTGCAGGGTAAGCCTGGGCTTGAGTGTGAACTCAGCCATTTCATGGCTATGTGATTTTGGGCAAATTACTTCCCCAAAGCCTCCGTTTTCTTCTTTTTCTTCTTCTTTTTAGAGACAGTATCTCACTCTGTTGCTTGAGGTGGAGTGCGGTGGTGAGATTGTGGCTCACAACAACCTCGGCTCCTGGGCTCAAGTAATCCTCCTGCCTCAGACATCTGAGTGGCCAAGACTTAAAGATACAGGCCACCATACCTGGCTAATTTTATTTTTTTTATTTTTTGTAGTGACAGGGTCTTGCTATATTGCTCAGGTGGGTCTCAAACTCCTGAGCTCAAGCAATCCACCTCTCAAAGTACTGAGATTAACAAGTGTGAGCTGCCACTCTTGGACACAGTGAACACTCAGTAAATGGTAGCTATTAGGATTATTTTATTTATTAAGCCTGTGGTCAAGCTTTACCATACAATGCCTAGTGAGAACAACACAAGGCATGGCTTTCCGGACACAGCTGGGGCCCACAGCAAACAGCCACCCTGAGAGCTCCTTGCAGGGTGTTAGCCAACATTCAGTCCCTGGTCTGCAGTCCTGGACTCGAGTACCCACCACCTCCAGCGTCCTGCCTCAGTAACTGGTCCCATGTTGTGACACAATTGGGATAGTTGCTTAAGAGCTTGAGTTAAGCAGATTCTTAAACAGAAGGTGCCAAGAAATGTATACACATTTTAAGAAAGGAAAAATCTATGTTAAGATTATAATACTCAGCGGCCATGGTGTTTCATGCTTGTAATCCTAGCATTCCGGGAGGCTGTAGAAGGTGGATTGCCTGAGTTCAGGAGTTCAAGACTAGACCAAGCCAGAGTGAGACCGGTTTCTACTAAACATAGAAAAACTAGCCAGGCATTGTGGCGGGCACCTATAGTCCCAGCTACTTGGGAGACTGAGAAGGGAGGATTGCTTGAGCCCAGGAGTTTGAGGTTGAGATTGATGTGAGCTATGATGCCAAGGTACTTTATTCAGGGCTACAGAGTGAGACTCTGCTATTCAAATATATATATATATATATATATATATAAAATATATAATACTCAATATATACCAATAAGAAAAGATGAATGCAAGTCACATTGAGCATTTCTTGTAATTACAGAAGTCAAATGTGACTTGAGTATTACAAATTTAATACAATTTAAATGTGCATATATTTTTTTTGGCACCCTCTGTATATTCTAGTTACATTGCATTTGGTCATGCAAATTTCATATCCTTTTACTTTCATTTTTTTCCTCAGTGTCCAAGACCAAAGAGTAGAAGCAGAAGGAACTGGCAGTGGCTGGGAGGGGCAGGGGGATGCGTCACCCCCACTCCGGAGTGCGCCGGGCTGCACTGCTGAGGTCGGGACTCCTCTGCAGGAGGCTGTGCCAGCGCCTCGGGGCAGGGGGATGCGTCACCCCCACTCCGGAGTGCGCCGGGCTGCACTGCTGAGGTCCGGACTCCTCTGCAGGAGGCTGTGCCAGCGCCTTGGCTTTTCAAACCCACGAGAGAAGTAAGCAGCAGAGTTGGCAAAAGTATCGTAACTGGAAGGTGGGTCAGATTAGCGTCTTTAGAGAAGTGCAGCTAGAGAGAAGGGAAGGAAGGAAAACAAGGACGAGAGAATAAAGAGGGAAGAGAGAAAAATAAACTGTGAAAGGAGAAAAGGAAAGTGAAGAGAGATGAAGCTTTTGGGTGCTGATCAAGCTTAAGAATTAGGAAGTGATAATAATAATAATAGCGAGAGTGAGATGGTTAGAAAGCCTCAAACAAAGGGCTGGTAGGCAGGAGCATGCCTTTGGGGCGTTACAGGACCCATCTCCTGCCTTCATAGCTACAGAAAAGAAAGAGAAACCTCCGGGACACTGATCTGTAAGGCCCTTTCCGGGGTAAGGCGCTATCGTGCTTAAGTCGTACGTATTTTTAAGAGTCCTCATTTGGCTGAGACTCGTCCCTGTTGTCTGTGTAACTTGAACCAGAGCCAGGCGATGGATGACACGGCCGGCCGTGTTTGGCCTTCACAGGTCTCACTCACACGGTCAGGATCATGTCGCCCTTCCAAGCTGGGTCAGGCAGCACGATCTCTTTTTAGGCAGACTGACCAGCTCCCAGGTACGTTCCGGGACTCATGCTGACCCCCAGCAAGAACCCAGGCTAGAACCAGGTCCTGGGAGTCCGTGGCGCTGCTCCCGGGGGGTCCTGGGCAGGTGGGCTGCCCAGCTCGATGATGTCTGTCTCCTGGGTGTCTGGGGTTTCCACTAAATACAGCAGGTCGGGGGAGACTGGGGGGCCGGCCACAAAGCTGATCCCGCTGGCCTCTGAGGATGTGTCCGTGTCCACTAGAAGGGTGGGCCTAGCTCTGGGGGCTTCCGGACTTGGGGTTCCCAGGGAGGTGGGGCCGGACGCTGGGAGCTCCGGGAGGCTCCACCGTTTTGGAGACCTGTCCCCACCCCCAGGGCCATCTGCGTGCTTGAATCCCTGTCTCTCAGCGTTGGCTGAAATGGTCTGGGGGTTGGGGCACCTAGAAGGGGTCCCATTCTCTGAGGGGGATAAAAGCGATTCCCCTGGGCCCTCCCACCGCCCAGGCCCGCTGGGCTGAACCCCGGTGAACTCAGAGCTCTCGATGGAGGTCGCCGAGCTGAGGGGGCCGCCCTCCGGCGTGGGCTCTGGAGCTCGGGCCACTGTGATCAGCACCTCGGGGACCTGTGGCATCTTGGTGGGGGAGGGCCTCACGCTGGGCTGCGGGGTCAGGCTCTGCAACGTGCTGGTCCGGCTGGCCTCGCGGATGGTGGACAGCTCGCCCATGCTGGCGTGCGTCGTGGGGCTCACCTCCCCCAAGTGTGGCCACCTCTGCCCCGGCCAGGCCCTGCCAGGGCTCCCCGTGGGCACCCCCAGCAGATCCCTGGTGGGGCTCAGGTCGCCTCGGGGGAGGAACGCGGAGCTGTCACTGCTCTGCCTCACGAAGCTCCTCCGCTGGGCGCTGGTCGGGTGATCGTGGGCGCTCAGGAACCGCTTCACCCTGCCGATCACTGAGTTCCGGTGGCCCGGCCTCTCCAGGTCCCACAGCCACTGCTCGTCGGGGGTGTCGGACTCAGACAGCCTGAAACACACGAGGACAAGCCTGCAGAGTCGCTGGACGGGGCCTCTACATCAAGAGATGAGTTTGGTATTTACACATTACAGATTTTACGTTCCACTATACACTCGGGAAAGAACGAGAATGAAAGGCAAATGATATTTTGGTGTGCAAGAAGAACCCTCAGGCATCTGTGAGGAGCGGGCCCCACAGACCATTCCTTAAAAAATGTTCTTGCTACCCTGGTGCCTAACTCTAAGGCCTGCTGGATTCTGCACTGGCCATGCATTATAGTTTTACCTTACAGGTCACACGATTTGCAGACAAGGCAGAACTGGGCATTCCTCCACTGCCCCTGGGTGCTCTGCTTCCTTCACTCCCTATTTCACCTTGAATGTAGATTTTGGGGCCTCACAAGAATGTAAGCATTGCTCCATCAGCACTGCCCCATGCTGGGCTTCCCTTCTCTCTGTGTGCCTTTAAAATACTGAAAGTTCCAACATTTGCCCAGGTTTTTCCCCAGGTGTGTCCTGGAGATCTTGTTAATAAACCTCCATTGATTGGTATTTTTGCCTCAGTCATTTATTTGGGTCTAGAAGTGATATTATGACTTTAGGAACTCCCTAAAAGTCTTAGGGATCCCTAGATGTCCCCAGATCACACTTTGAGAACTGCTGTGTGAGTTCTCTCTTCCTTGTTACGCATGCAGTCAAACTGAAGCCGTGTCCCAGGACCGGTGAACCCCCCAAACAACGGATCATAAGTAAATTGAAAAGTGCAAACAACAGCTCATGTTTATAGACTAAGCACCCCCCTTGCATTAATTCATTTAATCATCGCAATAATTACCTGAGTTGTTATTATTCACATTTTACAAATGAGGAAACTGAGGCCCAGAGAGGTTCATTAAGCCTAAGCAGCTAGAGAGAGACAAACTAGCAAGTATGACTCCAAAGCCTTTGGTTTAATCACTTTGTTATGAAG